TCAGACTTCATTAAGCCAGGATGGGAGGTTCAGTTGTTGAAGGAGGCTACCTTAAAGACAGAGTGTGAAGCTTAGACCCAATCATACCAGCTTTGGAAAACTCAGTTTTTACCAAGCAGGTCAAGCTTACTGCACCTATTTTATGAAAAGTGGACCTAACAACCTTCTATATCTCCTCCCCTTCACTTCATGGCAGACGTTATAAGAATAGATCGGACATCCTTTTAATGAATGAAGTCTAAATGACAATTAGAGATTGTATTCTAATTATTGCAAGCTGTTTTTTTTTACTTCATTTCAAATTAATTGAATATGTGTAAACAAAACTAGTTTGATTGAAAATACATGTATTCCTGGTTTATTAGTGGCTCATGCTGATTTTCTTCACTTCTTATATAACAAGTTGTCAGAAAATCAATCATATTAGAGAAGAGATATAGAGACATCTGCACCTTTCAAATATGTGGTAGGCATTGATCAATGCCTTCAAGATAGACTGATAAATATATGAAACACTGAGATTTTTGCCTGTCAAAGCAGTTTTTTAATTGTATCATAAGGTGCATCAGCAGGATAGGTGTAGATTTTATTTATGAAATAAACCAAAATTATTTCTAATTAATACAAGTGTCTTTTCAGTAGAAACAAACTTTTGAAAAGGTTGTATTATGCATTCTAAATAGATGTACCAATTCAGCTTGAGCTTCTTACAAAGTCTAATCTACTCAATAACACTGAAAGTTAAGAACAGTGATTGTTTCTTTTAATCAGCAGCAATCCTATGATGTAATATAGGGAAATTAGAGCGTGTTCACTTTCATCGTCACCAAGCAGTTAAAGGTCACAAGTCAGTTAATGTGTTCAGGCTCATCCAACTGCAGTGAGCTGCCCTACAAACATCGTCCAGCTTTTGTTGACCTATGCACTCCAACAGACCATGCTACTGCGCCACGGCACCAACTGCTGTAAAATGTCAGAGAGGTTGTGACACACCAGTCCGAATGGCACTTAATCCTATAAAGTTAAATTATTCATGGAGCCAGTAGTCAAAAGTTATTGCCGTTAATTTTATTAACATCAATACAGTTTAAGCCATGTATTCTTTACTATAGGGCAGGAAAACCATTTATCTGCATATGTTCATGCAGATAATGGTATGGTTTTCCCATCATAGCTTCTTTGTACAAATATGCTTCTCCTATTTATCAAAGAAAAAAAAAAGAGAAAGACTTAAAAAACAGCTTTAAATCAAACAGACTATGAGGTTTGAGGTCTCACCAGACTGGATCTTCATTGACGGCATCATCAAAGAAGAAAATGTAGAGACAGAAGATTCCCACCAACAGTGCATGGAACGTTGACACAGTCCTGGAGAAAATAAATGAAATACGGCAACATTAAAACACTGTTGGAAGGGCGACCGAATATATCATGGAGCTTAGAGAAGTTAGTTTATTAAATGTGCCTTGGAGGGGTCCTTTGGTTCCCGAAAGAGGAGTTTTTAGTATTCATAGTGGATCAACTAATTGCTTGTCATGATTGCACACTGATTCCAGCCAATTAGACTGAGAGATTAAATACTGCTGAAGGGTCAGGAAGAGCGGCACTGAGTCCCAGGCAGTCATTAACATTGCCAGACAGCCCAGCAGTTCTCAGCAGTCACTCAGCGAGACAGAAAGACGGTAACTTGGACTATAAGGCTTCTCAAATTGAATCTGGAGAGGGAGGAATTTCTACAGGGATCCCAAGAGCTAGGATTCATCAGCATTAATCATTGGGTTTCCTCTACTCTTCGCCCACAAGGATATTTCAATTGAACTAGAGCTCTCATGAGTAATAAGTGAAGGATGAAAGGAGAAAAATGAGGATCACACTCATCACGCTTTTTGTGGTGGATGTTGCAAAGCATTAAGTTTCACATCTCATCGAGACGAAAACATGATCCCATCCCAATTTCTGGTTTGACTAAAGCTCCTGTCGCATATCAGCAGAATAAGCATTTAGGGAAGAGCATCAGAGAAAGATAGAATTCCCATTTTCTATCATTTTACACATTTTTTGTTGGCTTTTTATTAGGAAAAACTTCAAAAAAGAGAATCAAATAAGTGTTATTATGAAAATAACCGTATACCAAAATATCCAACTTTAACATGTATATCTGTTTAAAGAAGCAACTATTAAATTGTAAAGAGGAAACAAATTCCAAATCCACTTTTTGAGCTCTTAATGAGTTTCTAGAAGTGCTAAAGTGTTATTCTCTACTAGGGGTGTAAATAATAATCGTTTTGTATACATGCATCAATCCAACAGCCGACGATCCGATGCATCGACACGTTTGCAAGAGTATTGATTCATGTTTTGTTCTTTGTTTTTTTCCTCCTGTCTATTTTTATCCACTTGCTCCTGGACGTAATTCTGACTCCCGTGCTGCAGTGGCGCTAAACCTATTTTGCCCTCCTACCTCGCTTCCTTTAGCCACTTCCTTCTTTCCACTTGCACACACTGGCATAAACAGTAGGCCAGACAGACATAGTGAATGAAGTACAGGACTTTTTTTTGTTACTTAATCTGCTGGTGCACTTATACACTCATTGCAATACTTTTTGATGCAAGGTCTTTCAGAATCTATAACACAGAGGCATTATTATTTTTCAGTGAATTAGGTTTTCATAGGCCTAGCTGGCGTACAATTTTGCTACTCCTGTTATTTGCTGTCGTTTCTCAAATACAATGCATAACGATATTACAGCTTTCATTGCTTTATTTCACATTTGAAACATTGTCTAGCCTGTAAGGTATAAAAAAAAATTAACCATTTAATCGAATCGAATTGTGGTGTATTCTTGAGTATCTAAAATAATCGAATCGTTGGGTCAGGAAATTAATACTGAATCGAATCGCCATGATGGGTGTGCTTTACACCCCTAGTCTCTACAGGTATTAAATAGTTCTCTTTATATGCTGTTTGAGTCATATTTTTCAATCTGTTCTGTTTTATTCCCCATAACATCTGAGTTATGCTCCAGAACTGCTAAACAAGGTTATGGACGCTTCCCAAATTTGAGAAACCACCATTTTTATTTCTCCAACTGAATTTGGTGTCCAAAAGCTACAAAGATGCCAAAGCTGTGATTAAAGTTAGTTCATTTATATAGCACCAATTCACAACTCATCCTCCGCAGGCACTTAAAAAGTCCATTAAATCAAATCATACAGGTTATTAAAATTTTATATCCAAGGAATCTCAGCAAAATATTATTGAGTCAATTACTTTGTAGAATGTGCCCCTCCTGGCAGAAGACATTCTCTTGCATTGTGCCATTGACTTTGCTGCAATCCCATCATAGCGAGCCTTTAACCAGGTCAGCCTGGTTAGAGGCTGGCTCCCACTGATTTTCCACTGAAAAGGCCTGGAAATTGACAGTAGCATATAAAAACAGGAACATGCTTGGAGCCAAAAAAAAAAAAAAAGAACCCCACAGCATGGTGTTACCTCCACTGGGTTTCATGGCAGAGATGTTGTGATCAATAACATAATTGGGAGGCTTTGACCATAATTAAACCGGCCTCCTACTGCTGAGCTCACTGATTAATGCACTTCTTGCCTAGTCTGTCATTTTAAGTGGATTATCATGTCTTAGTAGATTGGTCATAGTGCCAAATTCTTTTAATTATCAGATTAGTTGTGCTATCTGGACTTTTTTTTCCGCTTATTAACTCATATTCTTTGAGAAACCAACAATTATTTCACAGAACAGTTTTATGTAAAAGATGAAATTACATTCAAAGAAGGACTTACATTTTGAAGTTAGTTGCACCGAATTTTATATCATGGTGTATTAGTGAGGGGGTGGCTAAATGTTTATAGTGTGGAATGATAGAAGAGGCTTGATCAAGGATGGAAACACATTTGTTAACTAAGTTCTGAAGTAGCGAGTATTAATTTAATTTGCAATATAATCACAATATCAGAAAATGCAATCTTTAAATCACAGAGGCACTCAATGGTTATGTTACATTTATACGACGCAGTATTGGGGCCAGGCTACAGATTTTTTTTGATTTTTTTTATTCAATAATAAAGCCATAATATAATGAGAATAAAATCGTAAAATTACAAAGAATAAAGTCATAACATTATGAAAATAAAGTCGCAATATTATGAGATAAAAAAACAAACAAACAAAAAAAACGTCTTACATTTAACAAGACTAAAAGCCTTTTTTTATTTTTTTTTAACTCCAGTCCATTAAGCGGTGGTAATATGTTTAAAGTGGATTTGCTTCCATTAAAAAGTGAAACACCTCCAACTAGCATGCAGAACTATGTCTCCTAGTCAGAAATAAGCACTTTTCCAAACAAAGGTTACAGTAAAATCTTGCAAAAATATACTCTGGAAAAGCAAGCTTTCAAGGGAATGAAAAAAAACCTGAAACCCTGGAGTAAAACATCGACATGCTTGTTGTGGTAAGTACAAAGAAAATTTATAATAAAATCCCAATTGCATTATTGGTTGAAAAGAATCCCCATTTAAACTTTTAGCAAAATGGTTCAGGCCTACTCTTGACATCTCTGGAGGGCATATAACATCACTAATATTAGCCTACAAAATAAAGTAGGTACAATTTAACAGATTGGAAGACATTGATTAAAACCTTGGTCCATAACTGATCTGTGCTCTTTGCCTCCTGCTTATTACAGTCAAACATATGGCAACATTAAGCTTTGCATTGCCTGGTTTACATAAAACAGTCTAATGCTGTGTGTTTTACAGCATGTAAAACATTCATTATGCTGAGCTTGACTTTAAAATACTAAAGTAAGAGAAACAAAAACTAACTAAAAATAACCTATATTCAATGCTTCTAGCAGTTTAAAAGAGTCAGATGCAGAAACGTTGCACATCACACATTGACTCAAATGTGTGAGTCACATAGCAGTGTCACAGGAAATCTGTAGGCTGAATGTCAGCTTATGTCTTTGAACGCAAACCTCCCAGTGGTTAGCGTAAATGCAGAGAGGAACCTTACAGCCTCTGCTGTGCAATGGGGATGCAAACAGGTGCGTTACAGTTACCACAGACGTAAATCAATCTCAGGTCACCTTGAGTTCCACTCCACCTTCTGCTTGTCACTGAGGCCCAAGAAGCCGGTGCTGATGCGTATAGACAGCCAGGGGCTGACTCTGTGGAAGAGCCACTGGAAGGTGAAGAAGCTGGTCACCGAGATGGTGAGGATAAGCTGGCTGAATGGGTCCATGGCCACCCAACCCCACTAAGGGAGGACATAGAAAAGAGATCAGGGTCAAATACAACTGATTAAAAAAAATGGGTAGTTACTAGAACAGTAATAAAAACATAGATCTTATTAAACAAGGTGCTGTCAACTCCCCTTGGACTCTGAGCTGCTTTCTATCTAAAACATTCCTACCACCTACTCAGTTACATCTACAGGAGGTGTTACGCAACATAAATGGGACACAAGTAGTACAGTTCCACGACAGCATTACATGACAAAATCCGTCTTCAACATGTGTCCAAAAAGCGGTCACTTTCATGTTCCATTTTTATTATTATCATATAATCCTAATTGCTTTGGTTATCAGTCAGAACGCACTGTAACCCATTCATATCAGGCATTTAGAACACCCCAGATGAATAATCTGTGTTCAGTACAAACTTGTGTTTAGATGCAACAGCGTGTAAATAATTAATCATTCAAGGTGCCTGTTATTGTGAGTGTGACAGTACTGACATCCGGAGGATGTAGGAAAAAAAAGGAGACTACCTGCTTATACACAGAGGGGAAAGTCGATCTAAACTGCTATGCACATGCTCATACATGGCCTGCACACAAAATGTCACTGCAATGTTCTCAAAGCTACAGATGGAGCTGCTGCTGGGGAAAACTGGTTGCTTGAATCTGGCCTCATTCGCTGTCACTGAGTCACTCTGAGTCACTCTGAATGATAACCTCTGAGAAAGCATGATGTGTTAACAGGCACAAGTCCAAATAAAGGCAGCTTTGCTCATTCAAATGCTGCCACAGAATTACGGTTGAATAACAGTACTGCATGGCTGATAGATGGTTGACCCAGGCATCAATAACGCCACTAAAAGCTAAATACATGGTCTATTCTGTGAGGCCTGGAACAAATACAGCTGTAGGTATATTAGCCATATGAGTAATATGAGATCTAGGATGGAAAAAAATGAATTGGAAAATTCCAAAATATAAAACAGTTAATTTGAAATCATATATTTACTGTATAGGAAGAAACAAGACCCTTAAGCTCAACGTCTGACTTCAAATCAGACTAATCACTTCCTGTTTTAGGCCATTTTAGCCAAATAATTCATCTACCCAAGGCAAAAATAATAGGGGAAAATGTTTCAGAGTTATTATCTATTTTGAACTTCAGAATTTTAAATGCATTTTGTACAGTATTATAACTTGTGCTCAATGGAAACTGTTTGGGTACGCTGTACCCAAACAATATACATCACTCAAAAAGCCCCTTAAGCTAACCTCTACATAGCATCAATTCAGTTGAGCAAGTGGAGTAGCTACAACTTATCAAAAGTGAGTAACGCTCAAGGATGTTCAGAGGCACAGATCCATTTTTTCCCCCGATCCAATCCGATACCTGGGCGGAGCGTATCGGCCAGTACCTGAAAAGATCTGACACGACTAGGGCTGGGCGATATGACCTCAAATCAATATTACGATAAATTGGTCAGTTTCACCTCGATAACGATAAATGCATGATAAATAATCCAGCTCTTCCATTAGAAATAAAGGCATATGCAGGAAATGCAACTGATCTATTTATAATTTATTTACTGAATAAATCACATCACATATTACTTTCAATTAAAGATTAAAGTCTTATACCTATTGAGGTTTAAAGATTCAACAATGACTCATTGAACAGGAGAAAACGTTACCTCTCTTGCAAACAGTTTTGCACAAAGTT